GTACCCATACGACTGTCAGCTGATTTCTCAACAGAAACCATGCAGGCCAGAAGGGAGTGGCAAGAAATATTCAAAGTGATGAAGAGCAAGAACCTACAACCAAGATTACTCTACCCAGCAAAGCTATCATGTAGAATTAAAGGTCAGATAAAGAGCTTCACAGACAAGAAAAAGCTAAAGGAGTTCATCACCACCAGACCAGGATTATATGAAATGCTGAAAGGTATTCTTTAAGAAGAGGAAGAAGAAGAAAAAGGTAAAGATAAAAATTATGAACAACAAAGTGACAACAAATAAATATCTATCAACAAGTGAACCTAAAAATTAAGTCAGAATAAACTGGCGAATATAATAGAAGCAGGGGCATAGAAAGGGAGTGGACTGACAATTCTTGGGGGGAAGGAGGAATGGGGGGTGTGGGAAGAGACTGGACAAAAATCTTACACCTATGGATGAGGACAGTGGCAGGGGGTAAGGGCATGGGGTGGGGTGGGAACCAGGTGGAGGGGAGCTATGGGGGGAAAAAAGAAGAACATCTGTAATAATCTGAACAATAAAGATTTATTAATTAAAAAAAAAAAAACAGGGCAGGTGGCCTTCCACACACTTCCCTTTTATCAGAATGTCCTCCTTACAACTTTTCAACCAAGACTCTTGTGCTCCCCAACATATCATTATAACTCAATAGTTTATCTATATATATAAAAGTGTAATATGTAAATCGGCCAGACAGCAGTACAACTTGTCGGCTATGATGCGCACTGACCACCAGGGGGCAGACACTCAATGCAGGCCCTGTTCGCCGGATTGGGGCCTGCCTACCAACCTCTCGGTCCCTCCCCATGGCCAGCAGGCTCTGATCACCCAATGGAGAACAGGGAACCAGGGGTGGGTATTGGCACGTCCACCAGCCCCGATCATCCTGCCAATTGCCCCACACACAGAGGGCGACTGCGGCTGCGGTGGCAGGGGACAGGGCCAGCTGCTGGCAGCCAGGGAAGATAGACCCTGATCGCAGGCCAGGCCTAGGGACCCTAACCGTGCACGAATTTTGTGCACCAGGCCTCTAGTAATATATAAAGAGATACAGAGGAAATGTCAAAAAGTGCAAAAAGGGAGAGAAATAGATGGTCCATCCACAGAAATATAGATGTGTCTACACACACACACACACATACACACAAATGTATACAAGTATGTATGTATATATTCTTATATTATCTAGCTCTGTCTGCTAAGATGGTCTAGAATAAACAATATCCCAGTAGCAATGAACATATCTAGTACCCAATATCACTTTTTTTAAAAATATTTTTATTGATTTCAGAGAGGAAGGCAGAGGGAGAAAGAGATAGAAAATCAATGATGAGAGAGAACCATTGATCGGCTGCCTCCTACATGCCCCACACTGGGGATCGAGCCCACAACCCAGGCATATGTCTTGACCCGGTAGTGAACCATGAACTCTTGATCCATAGGTCAACGCTCAACCACTAAGCCACACCAGCCAGCCTACCCAGATCTCACTTTTTAAAAATATTTTTAATATGTTTTTATTGATTTTAAAGAGGAAGGAAGAAGAGATAGAAACATCGTCAGTCTGCCTCCTGCAACCCCTCTCCTTCCCCCCTTCCCCCCACCAGGATCAAGCCCACAACCTAGACATATGCCCTGACCAGGAATCGAACCAGCAACCTTTTGGTTCATGGGACGATACTTAATCCACTAAGCCACACCAGCCAGGCTTGTTCTCACTTTCTAAATACCATTCACTGCAAAAAGGATCCAGGGCTCCTTAGAAATATGGCCAATTCTGAGACTGGCTTGAGGAAAGTACAATATGAGCCTAGAGGGGGGTTGGCAAACTATAGCACACAGGCCAAACAAATCCAGACATTCACCTTTCTTTATAAATAAAGTTTTATTGAAACACAGCCACAGTCATTCATTTAAAAATTGTCTATGGCTGCGTTCCTGCTGTGAGGGTGGAGTTAAGTAGTTGCCACAGAGACTATATGGCCCACAAAGCCAAAAATATTTACTATCTGGCCACTTACAGAAAAAAGTTTTCCAAGCCCTGGCCTAAAGTATCTTGTCATTCCAAAAAGTCAGGAAACACTCAAAAAGTGATAGAGACATGACACAAGTTCACAGGAGCCAGTTGAAAAGATTCCCACTGGCCAAATATATAATCATTTAAGGATTAAATATTTTTAATGATGACAGCTTATATGTAAACCATTAAATAAGAACCCATGAGTTCATACTGAAAAAAACAAATAAGTAAATGGAAGGGGGAAGTTCTTCCTTACATCAGAATCCCAACTAATAATTGTAGAAAAAATTATGGAATTAGAATATTACCATTGACAATCATCATCATAATTAATTCAGATTCATCAGTGGATGATTAAAACTAATGGGTAAAAGTTTCGAGGAGTAACAGAATATTAAATAGTCTCAAAATAGTCTCTAAGATACTTATTAAAAACAAAGAGGAAAAGCAAATCTTGACGGTAGAGCAATCTGGCAGACTACCATAACCAAGTGATTAAAGTAGACACCTGTAATGGGACAAGTCAACATCACATGCCTCCTGATACATAATGAAAAACATGTCATTTGTGAAACATGAATTAAACCTGCTACAAAATAACTGCATAGCTCAGCTGGTATGGCTCAGTGGTTGAGTGTCGACCCATGAACCAGGAGGTCAGGGCACATGCCTGGGTTGAGGGTTAGATCCCCAGTAGGGGGAGTGCAGGAGGCAGCCAGTAGATGTTTCTCTCTCATCACTGATGTTTCTAGCTCTCTTTCCCTCTCCCATTCTCTCTCTGAAATCAATATTTAAAAAAAAAAAAAACATATTTACAAACTGGCCTATAATCTTCAAAAATGTTAAAACTGTTCCAGATTAAAGGAGACTAAAGACACATGACAACTCTATGCTACTTGTGATGCAGGATTTTTTTTAGAGAGAGAGGAAGGAATAGGGAGAGAGAAATAAACATCAATGTGAGAGAGAAACATCGATTGGTTACCTCCCCAAACGTACCCAGGAACCAAACCCGCAACTTGGGCATGTGCCCTGACCGGGAATCAAACCGGCAACCTTTTGGTGCATGGAACGAGGTTCAACCAACTTAGC